CACAGCTTCTCCAGGCAGCCTGTGCCAGCGCCTCACTGCCATGTTAGTAAAGAATTTCTTCCTAATGTCTAACCTAATTCTCTCTCCTTTTAGTTTAAAATCATTCCCCCTTGTCCTGTCACTGTCTGCCTGTGTACAAAGTCAGCCCCCTCCTGCTTATAAGCTCACTTCAACTACTAGAAGGATGCAGTGAGCTCTTCCTGGAGCCTTGTCTTCTCCAAGCTAAAAAGCCCAGCTCCCTTGGCCTTTCTTCATACAAAAGATGCTCCAGCCCTCTGATCATCCTCGTGCCCTTCTCTGGACCCACTCCAACAGCTCCACATTTTTCTTGTGCTGGGGGTCCTGGGCCTGGATGCAGCACTCTAGATGAGGCCTCACGAGGGCAGAGTAGAGGTCTAACTTCCCCGTTCTGTGCACACACATGTAAAACCCTTTTGTCATGTGACACTTCACACCACAGACAAATGCCAAGTGGTATCTGCCACAGGTATCCAACCAAGGAGGAGGCAGTCTGGACCTGAGCTGTGCCTGCACTTGCAGAGAGCTCTGGGTTTATGTGGAGATGTGGAGAAGACGCAGCAGTCAAATCTGAGCAATACACAGATAACATATCTTCAGTTTACTACTGGTCAAGCAGAATATTCAGGGGGGAAAAAAAGATCATTTTGAAATGTAGTCAATGTAGTCAAGTAAAAAAAATCCTCAGAGGGAAATATTCAATACAAATATACAGAACACCGAGGTAAACACTGCTAGAGTTTAAGGAGCTCAAAGCAAAAGATGGGTGAGTGCTGAATGCATGCGACTTATGAAATGACAGCACAGAGAGTAAACGTGATATCTAAGATCACACATACAGACATAGCTCTCAGAATATTCTAGGACTGCAACTGCAAAATACGTGGATATTACCTTTGTGGGCCCGTAAAGCTCATATCAGGAAATAGCCATGAAAAGCACATCTATGAACTGCTACCACCATTTTATGCTTCTGGTTTTGCTAAAGTCTTCAACATGCCCTAAATATGTACTTGCCCACTTTTCTAGACTGAACTTCCCAGTGTCTGCTTTTCAACAGACCTTAACTAGGAAAGTTATTGAAGCCAGAAAAGACTCATCTATGTCCTCATACGTTCACAGCAATATTGAGGGTTTGAACCACTGCTATGAGGTGAAAATAAACAGCCTTGGTTTGGATATCTTCTGGATGAATTAGTGAGAGGATTTATCTAAAAGTTACAGAGTCCTAAAGCAAAATCAGAAGTAGCTGTCCTCACGTACGCTAATTCAAATCAAGACATTTGCCCAACCAACACACTCCCGCCTGCTTCTTGTTTGTTATTTGTTATTCTCACTGTGCTTTATTGCCTGCTTCCTTCTGGTTTTAGCACTCAATTTAAACATTCAAATAGCAGAAAAGAAAAGGCTTTCCTGTTTCAGCCAAGATGTTTTGTAGGAAGCCATCAGCTGCAATTAAACCAACAGGGCACAGAAAGCTCTGTGGAAGCTTTGGTGGATGCAAGGGAAGCTAGGGGACTGATAGGGAACATCGCAGGATGAACAGCCTCTTCCTCCGAGTCCACCCATCCACCCACACCAGGAAGCTTCTCCAGATGCCATTTCAAGACTGATCTCCTGATTTGAGCTGCCATGTGCAGAGACATAGCCATAAAGAGCAAAGAGATCCTGCGATACCAATCTCTTAACTTCAGCCCCTATTCTAGACATTTAAAAGTAGATGACACAAACATCCCCCAGCTACAGAAAACATGCTCAGAGATCATTACCCTTTTTCTCCTTCTTGATTTGTTATTAAAAAACAGGGCATAACTTGGTTGTGGTGCTGCATGCAGATCAGAATCATTTACAGTTACTGTCCGGAACTGTTTCCTCAGTTGCAGGTCTTCTATATAAATTAGTCCCTTTAAAATGTAACACAGAAGCAGCTTGTTGTTAAATTCTCATTGTTACAGCAGAAAATTAAGAAAAATATTGTTTTGCACCTTTGCTTTCCACATGACCAGAAGGGGTAGACCCAGGGTGGAGCCACCCTGGGCTCATAAAAGGGCCAATTGCCGAAGGGAGAGCATCTCATGGATGAAGGCTGCTTCCTGCAAAGGAGAGCTGTGCAGCCAGAGAGCCTCCTCACTTGTTGGGTGAGTTTAACTCTCCTTTCTGCGTATGACTATTGGCCTGCCTGTGCATACTTTGCCTGGTATCACAAGAATGCGTCAGAAGCAATTTCACTTCTTCATGAGCAGATCATTGGTTGTGACAAGGCAGGAGAGAGAGAAATCCTTTTAAAATGAATTCAGGTTTTAGGTTTGCAGGTCTGAAAATGGCTCTCCTTCAGACAGTGCACACACACACACACACATACATACACACACACAGCGTGAGCAGAAAAACATCCCAGGCTATTGATGCACCTCACTTGCGGAGATCTGGTCAGCTTTAACACACTCTACATCCTTCACAAGCCCACTGAGAAGATGAATGCCAAAAGCCAACAAGATGCTGAAGAGCTGTAATGGTTTTGTGAATGAGATTATCAAATCAATTCTATTAAGATGGCTCAAGGGACAGCTGTTAATTAGGATTTGTCTGTAACTGAAAGTTAAATCAGAAAGTGCAAGTGTGTTCCCTTGTGAACATACTAACTCCTGATGATTTTATGTCATTTTTGGTAGCTATTCCAAACTAGCTGCAAGCATGGCCCAGCCATTGGTTTCCAAATCTCAAGTGGCTTCCATCTGCAGAGTGCTGTATGAAGTGCAGAAGTCTATGGCATTACCATGAGGAAAGTAAATCTAAACAGAGCAATGTTAAGAACCCACCTCTTGGCGGTGAGCAGAAGATCATACTGACAGTAAAACTGTCACTAGCCAAGAGCTGTTCACAATAGTATAATGGTAAATAAACACACAAAGGATGGTGAATTTGCCATATTAGATTCATTATCTCCCTAGAACTTCCTCCCTCCCATTTGCTTATTTTCTCAACTTACTCGATATGACACTGTTCCGCACAACATCCTGGTTGCCAAATTGTATAAAAATGGATTTGAGGGATGGATCACTTGCTGGATAAGGAATTGGCTGGATGGTTGCACTCAGAGAGTTGTGGTCAGTGGCTCAGCGTCCAAGTGGAGACTGGTGACAAGTGGTGTTCCTTGGGAATCAGTGCTGGGACCAGTATTATTAAACTGCCTTTGTAGGCAACGTGGATGACAGTGGGATCAACTGCACCCTCAGTAAGTTTGTAGACCACATCAAGCAGAGTGGTGCAGTTGACACGCTACAGGGAAGGAATGCTGTCTCCAGAGGGACCTGGACAGGCTTGAGAGGTGGACCCATGCCAAACTCAGGAAATTCCGCAAGGCCAAGCGTAAGGTCCTGCACGGGGGTCAGGGCAATCCAGAGCATAGATAAAGGCTGAGCAGAGAATGGCTTAAGAGCAGCCCTGAGGAGAAGGATTTGGGAGTGTCAGTTGACAAAAGACTCAACATGAGCCAGCAATGTGCTCTTGCAGCTCAGAAGGCCAACCATATCCTGGGTTGCATCAAAAGAACTGTAACCAGCTGGTGGAGGGAGGTGATTCTGCCCCTCTACTCTGCTCTCATGAGGCTCCACCTGGAGTACTGTGCCCAGTTCTGGGGCTGCCAGAAGAAGGGCACTGAGCTGTTGGAATAGGTCCAGAGGAGGGCCATGAAAATGATCAGAGGGCTGGAGCACCTCCCCTGAGGGGACAGGCTGAGAGAGCTGGGGCTCTTCAGCCTGGAGAAGGCTCCAGGGGAACCTTATAACAGCCTTCCAGCACCTGAAGGGAGCCTACAGGAAAGCTGGGGAGGGACTTTTCATACGGGCACATAGTGACAGGGAAGGAGAAATGGTTTTAAACTGAAAGAGGGTAGATTTAGACTATTAGACTTCCTAACAACTAGACTTGTTAGGAAGAAGTTCTTTACTGTGAGGGTGATGAGAGACTGGAACACACTGCCCAGAAAGGTTGTGGATGCCCCCTCCCTGGAGGTGTTCAAGACCACGCTGGATGGGGCTGTGAGCAACCTGGTCTAGAGGGAGGTGTCCCTGCCTTAGCAGGGGGTTGGAACTACATGATCTTAAAGGTCCCTTCCAACCCAAACCATTCTATGATTTTGTATTTCTTCAGTATCCAAGAAAAGAGACTTCAAACAGTTGTGTTTTGGTGTTTATTGGGTTTGCTGGTTTAATACATTTGTTTGTTCCTAGAGAAGGAGAACAAAACACAGAAGAGAAAAACTTCATTCCTCACAAAGGATCCTCTGCAACTTGGGGCGTCTGTCATAACAGATATTCTTAAAACCACCCAGAGCTCCACAATTCAAACTAAAATTACAGTACTTTATCCATCAACTAAACAGACAAATGCCATTATTGTCTGCTATTACTGAATCTTCCTAACAAGAGCTACCTTTTGCCAAAGTCCTTTGAAGGCCCTTAACAAACAAGACTCATGCCTTGATGCTTCCCTATGTCAACTATCACATCACAGAATCACCAAATCACTAAGGTTGGAAAAGATCTTCAAAATCATCCAGTCCAACCACCCCCCTATCACCAATATACTCAGTAAACCATGTCCCTCAACACAATGTCCAAACTTTCCTTGAAGACCTCCAGGGTCTGTGACTCCACCACCTCCCTGGGCAGCCCATTCCAGTGCCTGACCACTCTTTCAGAGAAGTACTATTTTCTAACGTCCAACCTAAATCTCCACTGGCACAGCTTGAAGCCATTCCCCCTGGTCCTATCACTAATGACACGAGAGAAGAGGCCGACCCCCAGCTCTCTACAACCTCCCTTCAGGTAGTTATAGAGAGCAGTAAGGTCTCCCCTGGGCCTCCTCTTCTCCAGACTGAAGAGGAGGACGTGTAGGACTGACCTTGTCCTTCACAGGGTAAGATTTAATTAAAGAGTCCTTCAGTCAGAAACCTGGAGTCACAGAAATTACCACCTCAGTGAAAGACAAACACTTTTATTTTGGAAAAAAGTTGTCCGTGTCTAACACAGCATGTACAGATGCATTAAACCAGAAATCTTTAGCCTAGCAATATCAAAAGCTACAACATATGGAATCATTGCAAAAGAGTAATAATGAACATGTAAATCAATACATAAAGCCACTCCCAAGCTCCATATAAGAAAATGCTACATTTTACCTAGTTTTTGTAAATTGAGCAGTCCTGCAGATTTCACGTGTGAAACGTATCCCGTAAGATGCAGTAAGTACACACAGTATAAACTAGGACTAAACACACAATTTTGCAAGTACACAGTGGGTAACATTTCTGATGACAGGAGAGCACTTAAAGTAGTCATAGTCTTAATTACAGCAATATGAAAGATTATAAAAATAACTGCAATATATTAGTTATGTTTCCCAGTTAATCTCATGCATTTACAGAATTATACGTACAGCCAGATAGGTAGGTAGATGATGTTTTAAAATAGAGAAAGGGGATGCATTTCAATTTAAGAAAAAGACACCCTGGACATTGCCAAGGGACTCAAGAGTAGAAGCAGTTCCTGGCATTATAAAGACAGACTTTTCAATTCAGCTTCTCCTTAATTTGCCTCCTTCTGGATAGATTTTCAAAAGTTTTGATGTTTGGGGATGGATGTTGTTCTAACTTTTTTTGCTATTCCAAGGCTGGTAGAACAATGCTGGATGGAATTAACCTCAGGTTAGTATTCTGAAGCAAAGTATCTAACCTGAGCTAAATCACAGCTTCCAGAGCCTCCTCAGGGAGGCCTCAGGAAACGATTCATTTGACTTTTCTCAAACATCTAAGGAGGAGATTAATAGCTCTCTAGAGGTGCCCAGATTCCTCACTTAAACCAGATGTCAAACTTTCAGAGAAAAAGCACTTACTGAGTTCCACTCGCTATGTACCATGATTACTGGACACCTTATATCTGGAAAGGATGACATGAGAGCCCTAACAACTGGGCAAGAAATACAGTGAGCTTCCCCTATTTTGTTAGGGTTTTTTTTTTTTTGTCCCAAATTTAGATCTCTAAGCACATAGGGATTAAAAGTTTCAAACTGCTGTGAAAAGTCGTTCTTCTACACAAGTCCTGCACGCTAATGTACTTAATCAAGTGCATAATTTAAACATAAGCAGCTTCAACCATGTCCAGAAAGCTATTTAGTCTATCAAAACAATTCATGATTATGAATACAAGTACACCGCTGAATTAGAAACATCAAAATTTGGGAAACTGTTTTAAATGGTTAAATTCCCATTGACATTAAACATGACTTCTCTCCCTATATGACAGCTCATGCCAACTTCATTCATACACTACAGCAAATCCCCTTTTAGTTTAAGAACAGGAGAACTTCACAGCATGTCACTTTTTTTAAAAAAAGGCATTTTAGCAATGCATTTTTTAACATTCATTGCCAAAACACATCTTTTACAATGATTAGGAAAGATAGACAACATCAAAAAACAAGATAAAAAAAAGTGGAGTATCCTTAAAAGCAGAATTTAGATAATGTGACTGAGGGATGGCTGACCATTGGAAAAGACCACTCAGTTCCAGAACAATTGGCATCATTCACTTTGGATTTAATGAAAGTAAAACAAATTTCCCTCTATATGACCACTTCACATGGAGAGACACCACAGTAGTTATCAGACTTTGCATTCACACTCTACCATACCTTGTAATATCTCTCACCTGTAGACAAACAAAAGGCACTTTGGCAAAGCAACACAGGAAATCCAGCACACCTGCACTGCCCAGGCCCCAGGTTTTTCCTGTTGCACAGATGGAGAGAAATGCAGTCCTCTCCATCAGCTGTAGAACAACATTTTAAAACACAGCTGCTAGAAAACACCTTCTGCTGTTATGTGTACTTCACTAAAGTAATTCTTAAATGAAAAATGTTGAGATTTATACATAAGTGTATATATAAATGTACATGTGTGTACATATATACACGCCTAAGTATAAAATAAAACTACCACAAAATACAGCAACTTACGTTTGCTTCATTGTGACATAAGGAAGGTCTAAATGTAGCTCATTTTCTTATCATGGAAATATCAGAAATATGGAGTCCAGTCTTTCCTTGCTTTGCTGGAAGACATCTTAGAGGTATAAAGCCATAGCTAAAAGAGATTCTTACCCACTGATTGAAGGTTAAAGTGTACAATTATAGATGAAAGTCTTCCCCAATTATTTCTCAGCTATTTGAATTAATTACATTAGCAACAGCCAAGTTTGAAATAGCCCAAATAAAGAGTAGATTTCAATTTATCTTTCCAATTACAGTAGAGAACTTCTGATAAAACCAGCTTTAAACAGAAGGCACAAAAGAAAGAAAAATATCCCTTAGTATGAACAACTAAATGTCAATTTAAACCTCCTTTATACCACCTACAAAGCAATAGAGAATGAAATCCTTCACACACACATGATTACAAAAACACTTATTTGATTCACTGATGCTACAGCAATGACTCTATACTATTTAGTTCACCAGTTTAAAGGCACAATGGATATCACTTCATCCGTATCCCATCCTATTTACAGTGGAAAACAAGATCTCTTAAGAAAAAACAAAAACAAAAAAAATGAACACAGATGCACCCTGAGAAGTGAAATTTTTCAACAAAAACATTTTTTAAAAAATACTGTTCTTTCTAAGGTCCCATTATCCGAGCCTGTATTCCTCTACAGGTAGATAACTACCTGTAGACAATAACAATTCAATATTAGCAATATTGACAATAACCTGCAATATTAAATTACAATGAAAAATATTACTTATAGATAAAAAAAAAAACATTAAAAGTTCCCAGAAAAGTAAATCAACCTAAACCTGACTGAAAGAAATGAGGTTTCACACGGAATTATGCCAAGGTTGACGTCTGTCAGCAGGGATCACAAAATCTGAATTCAAAGTTCTCTGACAATGTCCAGGTTACTAAAAACAAACAAACGAACAAAGTGGAATGGATATGGCTGGAAATCCCATAGTGCCATCTGTGCAGAGGAAAAAAGTGAAACAAGAAGCCAACTGTGCACTGCCCTTCTTTGGATCTGGAATTCCCAAAAGATTCTGTAACATTAAAAAAATCAAAAGAATGAGGTCTTTTTATAAAACTCAGATATGGGTTTCTAGCTGTTTTGTGACACAGTTTGAAAAGTATTGGCACCTGCACAAGAGTTCAGAGTGTTCATTCAGGAACTGCAGAGATTGTCAAATCTTTAACAATTTGTAGGAGTCCTCTACCACTGGATGGTTATGTACTGCACGAAAAGTATTCTTTGCCAGTGGTCCTCAGTGCAATAACGTATTTCTGTCAGGTGAGTATTTTCCCTCTTCTTCCAGTAGGTAATAAGTGCCATCGCAACAGTAACAGTGGAGCCAATATCAAACGACAAGCTGTATTTCATGGTCCATATTCATCAGTAATAGCTAAATAGGTAAAAAAAATAACTTCAATTCTTGATGTACACAACAACATATTCTAGCAGTGGTATTAAAGAAAAAAAGAGAAAAGCTTCATCCAAGGAAGTGCAAAAGGAACAAAACCCGTAAATAGTTCATCAACAGTTTTCCTTCTTCAACATTTCAACAGTGCTGAAGAGAGAGAGTACAACAGTACTTAGAGCTCTCACCTCTAGGGAAAGAAGAAAACACACAAAAAACCCTCAAATCCAATACCTTAGACTACTAAGCCACCAAAACGCACTGCTCTCCCTCCAAAACTACTCTATTTTCATTGCTGTTTTACTGAACAAACATGCTTGTTCTTAACAACTTGACAGATTTTATTCCTGTGCAAGGGACATTTGCTAATCCATTAACTTAAGTACTATATTTTACATACTGTGCAGGATAATTAGATGTATACAAACCAACCGTCTTGAGTGTGTAAAGAGAATTGGTCTGGAATTTTCTACACATCAGTTATGACACTGTGTACAGCTCAAACTTTATATCCAACACCAAGAAGCAGCTGGCAATTTTCTCTTTCATTTCTGCTACAAGTTCAGGTGGAAGGTTCTTGAATTTATCTGTTGTGTCACTTAGGCTGGACTGTAAAACATCACTACATCTATTTCAGGTGGAGGAAGGGATGAAAATCTATCAGATGCAGTTCATTGCCACAAAAAATGAAAACCTGTCTTTCCAATCCATTCTTAATGAAGCTCAAACAGCTTTTCAAATAACTAATTGTAGGCCCGACCATAAGATGTTGTGCTGCAGACCAAATTAAAATGCTACCATATGTGTGCACGTAGATCTGTACACATTTATATACACATACACACATATACACATAAATAAAAAAGGAAGCACCCATTTTTTTTTTCTTTCTAGTAATTATTCAACATTTTCATTTATCTAGATATTAACATATTTGCTGGGTATCACACCCTATAAAGGGACATGTAAGATGTTTTTCATTTTCTTGCCATTAAAGCCATACATATGGCTAGTATTTAAAAACATGCAGTGCCACCGATTAACAGAGTAAAACAATTATTAGGTACAATATCAGCTCTAGGAAATGCATAATAGATTTAAATTTAAAATGTATTTTACCCATTTGTGCAAGTAATTAATACAATCCACTATTTCATAGGAACTCTTCATAAAAAAAAATCATCACAAATCCACAGGAAATAACTGTCAAAGGAATTCCATAGCAGCATATGCAGCGAGTCACTGGGTGAAACTCTTCTTTATGAACACATTAGGAAAGTTGGCATTCAGTTCTAGGACAACTCTGTTATCAATCTGTGAACAGAAGGACACATCGAGTAAAGAAAGATCTTTACAAGACTCCAGCAGTTTTCTTAAAGATGCTGGGCTTACCATCCTCGTTCCTGTTTGAAAACAAACAAACAAACAAAAAAAAGAAAAAATGCAAAGTTAAAAAGAATTGTTGTTTGTTTTAAAGCTGCTAATATTGCACGAAAAGAATGCTAGTAATGCAATGTTTATTTACATTATTTCAATTAGATTTCAAATGAAAAACTTCAGTGGCAGTCTTTGTATAATTTTTGTTTTTAAGAAGCCTGTCGCATTTTCCTAACTCAGCTATTCAATTAGATCATTTGCTTCTTAGAATAAACTTTACAACTTCAAGAGAAATTTCTAAATACAGAAGCTGACCAAAGTATCCAAAGCCACAAGAGCCAGTGACTAGATCCTGGGCTTTGGCTACGCAGGAAAAACTTTTCTGCTGGCTGCAATGCCTGGCAAAACACACACTGCTGTAGGCTCTTCCAACTCCAAATACATTAGCAAGGCTTCCAGGGCTCTAGAGTGGTTACAGGTATTATATCCACATCGTGCAGGAACGGTTCTCAAAAGACTACTACACACCTGGCAGACAGGTCACAGGACTGACAGGAGACCCACGCCTTACTGCAGGCACGTCCAACCCAAGGCCTGTGGGCTGCATGTTGCCTGGCACAGCTCATACTGCAGCCCACCCCACTGCTGTCACACCGTTGTGGTAGTGGCTCTCCCACACCGAGTGACTCAGCCTGGCTCCAGATGCACACCCAGATTGTTCAGCGACATCCAAACACTGCTGTTTGACCAACACTGTCTGGGGCACGGGAAGGGCGCAGTGCAGAGCTGGCTCAAATTACGGCAAATAATTCTATGCATTTTGACACCTTGGCTATACACAGTCCTGTGAACAGCAAAAACAGGCAGCAGTGCTTTCTGTATTGATAAAGGAATTTGACAACGAGTTTCAAGATTGAAAAAAAAAAAAAAAAAACATCAATTTTTTGATATATTTGCAACTCCACCTTCAGTCTACATGAATACAGTACCCGAGAATTTCAAATTGGAACGCACAGAGTTGCAATCATATTTGACTCAAAGGAAAATTGATCATGTCTCTACTAGACTTTTATAAGACCTATCTCATCTGAGAAAGATATCCCTTGCTTCACAATCACGCCTTATTCACATCATCACTTTTTGGCAGTACGTGTATTCGTGAACAATTGCTGGCAAGGATGAAGCAGGAAAAATGTAAACTTTCATCAAAAATCTCTGATGAACACCTCAAGAACTCACTGAGGATTGTAGCACCTTCACCAAACCAGAATGATGCATCTGCTTCACAAAAACAAACTCAACTCACTAGTTTTATGTCCTTGTTGCTTTTTTTTTTTTCCCACGTTTTAATAAAATATATTAAAAATAAAAGCAGCTTAGTTGCCTATTATATTAACTACATTATGCATTTTACTGGAGCCAGTGGTGCAATGGATAACACATCTGGCTATGAATAAGACGACTGTAGGTTCGACTCCTGCCTAGTTTGTTCAATTTTCCCCAGCACAAGAAGGATACAGAGTTGTTGGAGCAGACTAGGAAGATGATCAGAAGGCTGGAGCATCTCTCTTATGAAGAGGGAGTTGGGCTTGTTTAGCTCAGAAAGAAAAAGGTTCTGGAGAGACTTAATAGTAGCCTTCCAGAACTTAAAGGGAGGTTATAAGCAGGACTTTTTACACTAACAGTGATAGGACAAAGGGAATCTGAAGTAAAAGAGGGGAAAATTCAGGTTTGATGCTGGGAAGCAGTTCTTTACTCAAGAGGAAGGTAAGGTGATGGAACAGGTTTCTCAGAGAATTTGTGGATGCCCTACCCTTGAAAGGATTGTTCAACGTCAGGTTGAATGGGACTCCCAGCAGTCTCATCTAGTGGTTGACAACCCTGCCCGTGGCTGGCGGTTGGAAGTAGATGATCGTTAATGTCCCTTTCAACCTAAGCCATTCTATTATTGTATGACATGCAGTCCAAGAACAATTCCTCTTCACTTCATGCAGCTCAAGCAAGCCTAAAGGTTGGACACACACACCTTATTGGAGTAGCTGGTAGCCAGGCAAGTTATTCCAGAAAGTAAACCAAGCATGGATGTCCACAGTGTGACACACTGCTCAATTTCTACTGACTCTAAAGAGCTTACGCATCCAGCAGGCCTGTGAATATCTACTGGCAGACATCTATTGGTAAAGCACTGACATTCCACTTTTTCTAAATCATTCATAACCCGATGCAACTCTTTCTTCCTCTTGCTTTATCATCTGGTATTAAGTATCACAGGATCATTTTGCAAATTTTCAGCCTTAAATTCTTCAGCTTCAGATTTTTCTTTCTTAATTGCTTATGCGTTATCAGCAAGTTCTGGTATGGCTTATTCACTCCTTTGCCTGTATTACTCATTAACAGATGAGACAGCACCTATCACATTATGGCCCTTGGTGACCACAGCAGTGACTTAAAAGCGACAATATATTCTTATCCTTTGCTTTCTCTCACTTAAACGCCTTCTCTAAGACAGAAAACAGCTTGTTACAAAAACAGAACAGCCTTGCTAAAAACTTCTGAAAATCCAATACTATCCAGATTGTATCAGTGTTTGAAGTTCTAGGTTTGAAGCACCTAATAGGTGAAAGATCTCACAGGGATGGAGCTCCCCTTCACAATATCTTAACAATCTTCATGTCCAGTTGCACGTTTCAGCCCTTCATTTCTCCAGCGCTGGGGCCAATTTAAGTGATAAATCATACTAACAGTTTTGCATGTGAGCTCGTTTAGAAATACTGCATAAATATGAGTGCTAACAATTTATTACTGCTCAACATATTAATTTGTTCAAAAGCTTCCTGTATCAGCATTCCAGTTTAAGACAGCTTTCCAGGCTATTCTGGAGAGAATGGGTTGCACCCTACTTGAACCCCCTTGCAGCAAGCACTACTAAGATGTTTTCCTACAAGAGCCTTCTCATATCTGAGTGGCCAGACACACTGTTTATCTATCAGCCTCTGTAATTCTCCTGTAAACTTCTTCCAACATACCTGAAATGCCATTTTAGCACTACCTTTAGCCAATAGCTCATTAATGGTCCATTTCTGCCTTACTGTGATGCTGTTTCACCTTCTTATTTTCCTCCTTTGAACAGGACTCATTTCCAGAAAGATGACTGTTTCTAGTAGTCTCCTGTAGTTCTCTGTGTAAGCACAGGGGTCTCTAACTGTGGTTTTCATCTATTCTGCAGTAGAATCTTGAATTAGTTATTTAGGAACATTACTCTGTCTCTGTTATCATGTTATCAAATTCTACCTCACCTACAGGGAGGTAATTAAGGCATATCGTTATTGTGACTTTTAACTCTTACCATCATATAATCACTGTCACCACAGTGGTCAGGCAGTTGATATAGCAGTCCTATTGGCACACACACAAATTTTGTGATATTCTTTAGTTATTTACTTCCCTTAATCATAATTGTACCATAGTATCATTGCCCTATCAGAAGGATCTGCTCTAATGTTTCAGCTGAAATAACACTATCATACTTCTACCACACCTAAAATTGCTACTGCATTAGCATCTTCATTTAAAACTAGTTTTGTTTGACCATCTCAGCTTTTAAGATAAAAATCCAAACCTTTTTACAAAATGCTATATATAGATGCCTAGCCATTTTGTGTGTAGTAAGAGGGTCCTCCTCATTCCTTCCTATCTGAACTTTGACAGTTGACCTATGGCTTAATTTAAGACTTTTAATGGATTTAGAACCAAATAGGTCATCTAAGTACAAGCTTTATTGCACCTCTTACTTTCTTCATCCCCAGACTTAAAATTTTACATTAGGAAAAACCTTCTTCAAAGCTAAAAAGGCTAGTTGGTGTTTGCAGTGTTTGGTCATTCAGACCAGGGAATAAGCAAACATCCACAGACTTACTCTATGTTATACAATGCCGAATTAATGAGACACATTTCTCAAAAGCACATTCAAAAGCATTTCAGAAGTATAATACAGCATATATTTCCTTGCCTTTCAAAAACTGACAAAATATGCTAGTTAGCTACACTGCACATTTTCCTACAGTTTGGAGGCTTCTGGACCTTTACTATTTTACTACAATTTCTCCCACATTGCCCATTACTTTGAGTAAATTCATAACATCTGCCTTTTTTTCTGTCGCTCAGTTTACAGTCCTGAAAAAAAACCTGATATCCTTTTCATGAAAGGTGCTTTGAGTAATGATTTATATGCAAGAACAGTTATGTATATTAGCTGCAAATGATTTCACCTATATGCACGATACATCCAAATCCTCAAATACTAGAGCAGTTGAGTGTATGATGACTACAGAAGTACCACATCTGGAAAACTGCCAGAGTCACAACTTCTGGGGCAAAAGGGACGGATACACAAATGATAATTAAGAACAATATTGAAGTTGTTTTTTGTTTTTTTTTTTTTAAATGGGCCTCCAGTAATTTCAGTTAAAGATACACTAATATGAACCTTTCAAAAGGATGCACATGAAAAAACAGCTTTCATCTTTTACTCAAAAATAACACACATGTTGCTGGGCTAAAAAAAAAAAAAAAAGAAAAAAAAAAAAAAAAGATACCCAGAAATAACTAGCACTATTCTCCCAATCACTCTCACTTTTCCTTTTCTTCCCCAACCAACCAGATTAGCCTTTCATTCTTTACACTCTACTCAATTTACAGAACTCTAATTAAAGTTTAAATGTAGTGCACATTTATGTTTGATTTGACTAGCTATGTGTTGATGCCCTCAAGAGAAAGCTGAAGATTTTGACAGCTGGCAAGGGGTTTGTTGGTTTTGCTGTTGCTCAGAAATGTGTAGGACATGCTGGTATGCAGATAGTATACAAATTCTGCAGTAACAAGGGTGCCTACTTTTTATTACTCTTTGTGCAAGACAGAGAAGGTTAAGACTTTTGGGAAATGAGGTTAATATGACTTACTGTTCTCCTTGATAACAACTGGTACTCACAGCAACACAACTAAGCAGCTGATACGGCATACATTTAAAGCTATTGGCACTGCCAATTCAGGTGGTCACCTGTCTCGACATGAGGTTTCTTCTACAAGTATGGTAACACTGAACATTGTACTGTAACACTATAAAAATATAAGATAATCGTAGCTGGATCACTCTACGTTCCTCAGGTGAACAAAAAGAAATAATTCCTGCATAGTCCACCCTGTCTGTTAGTGGAAAAGATGCAGGCAGAGAAGATACTTGTAAATAGGCAGCTCAGTATGTACTGGGTAAAAGAAATATAACTAAAAAAACCAAGAAACATACTCATGTACTTAGTGACACACTTACTTCATCATACTTCTTCCAAACTGTATTATAAATACAGCAGATATGAAACCAAACCATGATTTTAACAGAACCTTACTTTCTTAAGCATGCTTTACACACAATTTAAACAAAGCTACCCATCAAACAATGCTTTACGTGGGCCAATAATTTTATGCAGCACATAGAAACTCGCAATTTTTATCTTCTTTCATTGCACTAAATCCAGAAGGGAATTATCAAACAATAACAGCGACACCAAGAAAAGGACAGATGGGCAGCAAGCTGCAGAACCACCTTGGCATCCAAAGTACATGTAACCTTTTTTTTTTAAATACTTAAATGAAGAAGAGTTCAACAAGCTTTCTTTCAGAGGCTTAGATTTCCTTCAGTTCTGAACACAGTGGGAGTATAAATATTCTGTAACTGAACCAAGAATTTTTCCCTGCCACACTTGTGTGTTCTACCAGTTGAACAGAGAAACAAGCAAAGTATTGTCCACACTGGTGATTATGCTGCAAGGCAAGACATTTTGATCTCTACTTAGGTAAGTTCCTGTATACAGCAAAATAAAATCAAGCTTTTATGCAGTGTAGTTGAGACAAAGTAAGTTCTCTTGCTGCATGCACTGCTAACCCAGCGGTAATACTTGTATGCCCTTAACATATGCATGTGTAATCCAGCCATTTTTTACTTGGGAAATGACAAAGGATGCAGTACGAGAATCTCCTTTTCATTCACATCATAGAGGAGACCCAACGTTCAAGGTTAATTTTGCAAAGCTGAGAACTGACCTCGAGCCTCTAATAGCTTCAGACCTGTTGTCATCCTTCTTTAAAAGGAAAAAAATCATATTAAGAATTTACACAGTTAATAGAGATAGCATGGTCCTACATCAGCAGCCAGAAGTCAGAGCATGTAATGAGATTTATGATTTTCTCAGCATTCTTGTGATGTAAGAGAGCAGGTCTTGGGTTCCTAAAAGAGATTTCTGAATTTATATTTGAATATCTGGCAACTCTACCTCCAGATGATCTCAGCAAGGTTGTGATTCTGCTTGACAACTCACTCCTCCTTTGAACCACAGACTGTAATGTAATGGCTTCCATATTTAAAAGAAGACACGAAGAGTTTTCTTACTAGTACCACAATAGCTGGATCACTTCTTCACATACATTGTGAAGAATGTACTGATTATAGTAGAGAAAAAAAAAAAAAAAAGTTGCATTCTACTAAGTATTACTCTGAAGAAAGAAAGCAAATCATGAGAGTAGACACTGAGATTTTTGGTAACAATTTGTGGTGTGGATAATTCAACTGGATATCCTCCTGAGAGCACCCTCCTGAACACAATTTGCAGCTTTATCAGGTAAGGTTGACTACAAACCCACTTGACTCAGTAACACTGGTAGGCACCTAGGGAATGGAAGAGAATTCCACTCTACCTTCACACATTTTTCAACAAAAACATCAATGAGATGTTAAACTGAATTCAAATGCGAATTCAATTGTTAAAGGAGAAGTGTGGCAAAAACCCTTCAGTGCTTGCAGAGAGGCAGCAGAACTAGCAGACTTATCTGCAGGCTTAACACAGCCGAGCTATTCATTCTGCAGCCTTTGGTACAGTGAAAAGGTCAGACCGATTTGTGGGCAGACACAATGCCATTGTAACAGCATGTATGTGGGTGGTCAGGAGAACATACATGTTTATGAAAGACTGTATTCATTATGCCTTTTGGAAACTTTTCATGTCTGAACAGTGAAATGTATATCCCTGATAGTCTAGCTACAAAACATGTGCCTTTAACCATAGGCAAAAGCATATATTAACACCCGAAAACTTATACATTAATCCAGAATAATATGTACTAAGTGGACTTAAGTTTTCATCTGTTCTTTCTCCTTCCATGTTGGAGAGAAGGTAGCTTTCTAATTTATAGACAGGTAAAACTAAAACTAAGTAAAACTAAAACTAAGTAAAAGAGCATTTGCTATCTATATTGTGGTGACAACTTGCAGTCACTTGATAAATTTTTGTAATGAGAAATACACGTAAGGCTTAAGCTTGCTTGTAACATTCTTTGAGTAAAAGGCACTGTTTCTCTGGAGCACCACTCCCAACCTAAATGTATTACCTTCTCAAAATATTATTAAATACTGAAAATAAGCAGTACAGCTACTTTCTTCTCTTTAATAATTTAAATCTTCATTTTTCAACCAACCCTGTGAAAATAAGTTAAGACAAGGATGAAGAAATTTTCCCTACATCAATGTTAAGACTACCATAATTGTCACAGACTGTTCCTTTTAAAGATAATCCCACATTCTGCCACAGAAAGAATAAAACTACAATTCCCAAAGTCCTTACTCAAGATCCAACACATATTTAGTTTGAATTCCCAAACTGTTTTTAGCTATAGACAGCACAGATTATTAGAAATCTAAGATTTGATGCATTCTTTGCATCTCTTCTTTTCCACCTCAGTGGTAACTCCATTTAAAGTCTTGTTATTAATAACATTTTTCTCTTTCAAGAGACAAATTCAATTCCTGTTAAAAGTGACAAAGATTGCTAATACTGCCTGGCGAACCTATACTGTGCAAAAGCAGAAACCCATTTATTGATCAGGAATTCCCACTATCAATATACTTTGTCATACTTTATAGAAATTAAAAAACAAAAGCAGAAACAAGAAGAGGAGACTGCATCTTCTGAAGCAAAATCAAAAGATTTCCGTTAAATATACTGATTATCATGAAACTAAAAGTTACTGGAACAAATACACAATTCTTAGCTTAAGTAACATATGTAAGTAAACAATCAAATTACACAATTAGTAGAATCTAAAGAATGTAGGTGTCAGAAAACAATTGCAGTTACTACTTCTCTCTCATTTCTTTCCACGAGCTAAGCCATATTTTTATACAAACATATAAATATATATAAATACATCTAGGCAGCATTTTGACCACATGGATTCCTTTTATAACTCGCAGGCTTCTGAGAACGGTAAAACATTTACCAATATTCCTACATTTTCTTACCCAATATATCTAGCTGCCGTAAATGAGTACAGTTAGCTGCAAGCTCTTCAATGTCTGTGTCACACACAGACCTGTTGGCCGTAAGAAAGAGCTTTTGTAAGTTCGGGAGTTTACGTGCAAGGTTTGTGAAACAACCCGTACTGCTCTGTAACGTGGGGCACCAGCCGAGATCAAGTTCTTCCAAAAGCTGGCAGCCTGAAGCCAACTCTGCTATTCCATTTTCAGTTATGTTTTTACATCTCCAAAGATCCAGACTGCGAAGCTTTTTGCATTTTGCTCCCATCATGCTTGCTATAAGATCATAGTCTTCAATCTGCAAGGAAAATAAACATTTTGTCATGTATACCACCCTTCTAGACACACATAGGTGTTTCAAGATTTACTTGCTAACACATCCACAGATCCATCCTAAGCATCCGTCGCTTCTAAAGAGCTCTGAAAATTACTCACTGTACACTGAGGTCTACTCCTACATGAGACAAAAATAAAGTTCCTATTTACTCCCAGACATACGTGCTTTTATATTCACTTGACACTGAGGATCAGTGAAAATGCAGTTAGAAGTTCATTTTCTTTGAAAACTCCCTCCTTTCCTTCAAGAGATTATTAAAATTGTATTTATGACAATAGAAACAGCAACTACAAGTTTTTTTGCATTAAAGAGGGCACCTATTTTCATTCTAGGTTGATCACCTGCTACACTTCCTTATGGGAATATTACTATTTACCTCAGACAAGCCAAAGGTGCTCAAAGTACCCCAACTCCACAGGTAGAAGAAATGAAATCCACTATCAAAAATCATAGGAAGACTAGAGTTGCTGGAAAACAACGCGCTGCTTTCCTCCTCTGCCCATGAGTCAAAGTGGGAAGGCTGAGTCAATTCTGCTTTGTCACTTGCTTCTGAAACTGCAGGGAAGTTTACCTGATGTGTTGTCAGATGCGTTTATCACCAGAGACAGAAAGTTAAGTCCCAGCGCATACAACCCTGATATGCATATTCAATAAAGTTTAGATGAGCTCTGTGCAGAGATTCCAAGCCCCATATTTTCTTTCTTCAATTCAGTGTGTGTGCCCAGGAAGTCTACATGACTCAAATAGCTTCTGTTGAAAACATTCTTGTGTTTATGATCGTAATGTCACACACAAGTCTTGGTTTGCTATGAATTATGACTTGGTCTGAATTTCAAAAGAAAAAGTCTTAATTGTTTTGGTGACTATGCACATAAGAAACGTTCCAAAATTTAGGAAGAGGATGAAGAACAATGGAAAAAAAAACCCACAAGCTAGATTTTAAGCCTGTGAAACTGGCATACAATCGTTAAAAAGATGACTAAGTTACATCCAGCTCGAATCTTTCGGAAGTTTGATACCTCATCTAACATCAACCCAGCACTTAACACAACTCTGTGAAACACAATCAGGTCAAGTTTAGAAGTACAGGTGTGCGCACACAGCACTCCAGCTACTCACCATGACGCAGCTGCCCAGGCTGAGGTGTTGAAGCTCTGAGCAGAAGTTCAGGATACTGAGCAGGGCTGTTTGCTGCCACAAGGGAATGCATCAGAAGGAAATATGGAACGTGAAACAAAGAGAAGAGGTCAATTAAGCATTAAAGGCTGTCACTGCATTTCCTGAAACACAGCTCAAAACTCTGTTACAGACACAACAAATGCCACTTAATGAGTCCCCAGGTAATCTGCCCATTGATTGGCTTAAAGTAACAGTAATCATTACAAACCTTTACACAAGTCACTTTGGATGTGGTTTTGAATTGCCCTGAAGATACCTATCCACTCATGACCTATCAGCTCATTTCCCCCAGGAAAGCTGCTGAAGAATAAGTGTGGCAAGTTCAAACAACCGGCAAGGCCAGACCAAAATCACAAAGGGCTGGTGACACACCAGCAGAACAGCAGAGCACTGACATTCTCTCATCGGCCGCAGCCTGATGGAACTGCCAATAGAGCAGCGCAGCATTGGGACCGAGCTGGTGACTTTAATGTCAAAGGAGTCTCCGTGCTGACAGGGATGCTGACAACCATTGAGCACCTGTCACTACCAGCATGCGGGCTGAAACAGATATAATGTGTACTTTACAGTCATGTTTCTGCCATTTATCACAGCCATTCTTTTCAGAAAGTACTGCACGTTACTCAGCCTGAAATTATACTGGAACGCAGATGTATCTCACAAAATGCTAAGTACACGGCTATTCTGTTCTATGACAAGTGAAACCTCATGGTTTTTTATTTGCATTTCTAAAATAGAAAAAAGACTCCTCTGCATTGTCTGTAGCCATATTCTGTTTTGTGGTTTGAAATATAAACAAGTGCAGAGAAGGACACAGCCTGGGGTTCAAAACAGAAATATCTGTGCACCATACCAAAAACATTTACCACTTAATTAGTTTTTTGTAAGCTTGAAGACTACAGTAAGTTCCGTAAGATAATTAAAGTCTGTGTATGTATATAGGATACACAACAGTGTCTCTCACACACACACAAGAAGCAGTATACAAAGGACAAAATCAATTGCTAACATGTACGATTTCTACAGGAATACCATTAAACTATTCGTAGACATGTGAACTATAAAAGATACCTATCTATATATGCTAATATAAAGTCGCTTGTTTTCACAAACCTAATGGTAAAATGCTTTTTCAGTCATTATATTCTGAAGAAACTCAGCAGGACCATTATCTTTTTTCATGGCACTGTGAAGAACTACATGATCCCTTGCACTGAAACACTGGCAGATGCAGAACACAGACAGTGGGTAGAGTATTCATGGAGACCATTCCAGACATCTAATTTAGGCATCTCAAGGGAGCAATTAGAAACACCCAATACTTAACATGGATAGAACTTCAGCTGCCAGCTTGGCCTTCTGAGATTTGATTTCCCAAAAGCAGCCTGAAGGTTGAGGATACAAACAAGCCTTCCTCACAAACATCTTTGCAGAGGTCTTACAAAGCCACTGTCTGCTTGCTCAACTGACTTTCATTTATGTTTTTAAAGAGAAGGGTAAACTAGGGAATTAAACATAACAGCATTAAAAAGTCATTATAAAAGAGGTAACACTTAGGAGCACTTTAAAGCTAGTAAATGTGTAAATATCCAATGTTGTTTAAACTAAAGTACTTATTAAGTAAGCGCTTTATTTGGAGCATTAAAAATGAATAAACGAGCAACTCTAATAGAGTGAGACATCCTTTATTCTTTTCCTCCCTGAAAACTCTGCGCTTTAGAACCCACTCAGACTTCCAAAATAAATAAATAAATCCTTACATCTCTCTATAAATCTTAAATATCAAGAGCTAAATGCATCAGTCTCTTAATATCCAATGCTAAGCAGGTTTTCCTCCAGGTGACTCTACAATAAAACTGAATAACTCAATGTATTTGACCATGTTTTTTTCTGCAATAGTTTCTAAAGTGAAATTTAAACAATGGCCTGAAAGGACAGAAAGCAGCAATACTTTTCCTTAATTGACATAATTCAGAAGCATATAGATACGCTGAGCAGACTGAGGACGTAAGATCTATTCCATAATGACACTCCTTTAGGGAAGAGTGATCTAGGTAAGGAGATCAATATTCATAGTGGTCTTGATCACAAAAATAAGCTAATGTGAACAGGAATTTAGTGACTCTCTCAGAATACTTTAGTCTGAGGGAGTCCTTCCTGTACTATATGCACTGAGTCCACATTTTCAGAGGTCTTTTCACAACTTGTGATAGCTAAAGTATTACTTTAAACAACAATTTACAACAACAAAAAAAAAAACAACCAAAAAAAAACAAAAAAAAAAAAAAAAAAAGAGAGAAAAAAACAACAGGAAGAAGATAAGCACCAGAAATGTGAGTAATAAAAAAGCATCATGGTAGAACACCATAGCATACCATCACACAGCCTGCCAAATCTAGCCCAAGAGTAAACAATAAGTTACTCAATAGTAGCCATACTCAGTGTAGGTTAATTCTTCTTCTGGGGCACGCACATGCCTCAACACAAGAAAGCAGACTTTCTTCAGAAGCTGTGCCTGTTCTCCCATAACTGGAGGCTGTTTCTGCATATGTCAAGAGGAAAAAAAAAGAAAAACAAAAAACAACCACCTTTCTTTGAATATGCCTAGTTGAACCTCAGTCAATTGCAAATACAGGTGGTAAAGGACATCAAAATAGCAGGAAAGAATGGCAGCTCACAGAATACATATGCACTGCACATCAAGAACTATCATTGTAATAACCAGACTGTTTTAAGCCATCTGTCTGTACAATTCATCTCTCTGACTTGTCTTGAACACAAGATGAGTGATAACATTCCTGTGTAAGCAGAGAAGAATGAGGCAATCACCTGACCTTGAAGCTGTAAGGCAGGCCAAACCTCAGATGTCAGAGCTCATTATAAGAGGAGCACAGGCCACCTAAATTCTGGACCAGAAAGTTTCAACTGGAGAGAATCCAATTGCACTTCCTCAGCCAAGCAGAGGCTGTCAAATCAAAAGACTCCCCACATAACACTTCATTTGTGAGCTTAGTAGCCAAGATATGCTTAGTTTGGAGACTTTCTAAGATTGCCCTGTAGCAAAGGTAAGGGCTGGTTTTGAACCAGCTCCCCTTCATGCATGCTCAAACTGCAGAAGGAAAACAGTAGACACCTCAGTGATCCAAATTTCTTCTGCCATCCAATCAAAGCAGTAACTGGTGAACAGTCAATTTTTATGAGACAGCACAAACAGCAGGAAGAAGAGTTCTGAGCAGTCAAATAAGATCCTATTATCCATTTCCAGGAATGGTTTTTAGATGATGAAAATGCTTACAGCTGAAGTCATGCACAAATTGCTCGAGGAGAGAAGACTGGCATCAAGCTGCACAGAAGGATGACACGATACTGCTGTTAAACACAGCCTTTTAGAACAGATTATAGAAATATTTTAGGGCACAACAGTTAGTCCCAAACCTCAGAAATGGAAAGGAGACATCCTGAAGAGTCTCTGAAGTCTTTAAGAACAGGCTAGACTAACATGTCAGAAACGACATCAGAGTTGATCCTGTCTTGGACAAGAAGAGAGATTACCTTTTGAAATCCTAACTCATTCCACATGAGACAAGAGAGTTCTGCCCAAACATGAATAAGTCTTTCATTTGGTAACACAGCTGGCCTGGAACACATTTCTGTGCTATGCATACCACAGTTAAATAGCTGATACTGGACTAACTTCCATCCTACCTGCCTTTGTAAAGACCTTACACATCACATGTACATTCTGACTTGCAAGTTGCAAGAGTGCAGCTGGCTTGAATGAACAGTGGAGAAATCAAATACTGGTGACAGAGTAATATATCTAGTAAGGCTGAATCCCACTGCAATTTTTTCAGGACTTTTTGCATTCGTGATCCAACCAGAAGTGCAAATTATTTCTGATGTTGGTATGATAAGGAAAGCATCCAAGAGATATGATATCCTGAGATTAGTATCACTTAACAGAAAAGCCCCTTCTGTCTATAGTACACTTGGCTCACTCATGAAAGATGCACTTTCAGTCTTGGACCATCTACTCACTGCAGTTTCACCGTCAAATAGTCCAGAATATAAAGCTTTTTACAAATACAGAAGACGGTTATGATACACTGGCTCTGCCATAATAAGAACATTTTGCCTGTGGAATACTAATGGAAGAACTACAGAAAAAATAGCATAGTTTTACTTCTAAGGTTGGGATAGGTCTACATGTTTTTATAAACTCTTTACAGAAAGATCTTAAACTTCTTCTACTTTTAATGCTGGGAACAAAAAAAAAAAAAAACAGACTGCTTTTTTTCCCCTACAGTGCAATCAGAAGAAACGTGTCTGACATAGACTGGAAACTCTTGCAGCCCCCTCAATGAAGCAAGACAGCCTAAATCCTTTACAAGACTCTCTTCTCCTGTAATTTTTCCTTTTTTTTTTTTCTTGAGAGAAGTAAATGCTGACAGAATCTCAAATTCTGATAGATTGCTTTCTCCATTCTTTAAACTAGACTTCCTTTGCTTCCTATGTTTTTGATCACTGAATTACTAAATCTCTGGCAATCACACATGAAAAATTCTGAGTTTTGCATGAATACATATTTCAACATTAAAATTTCAAGTTAGGAGTAGAAAAAAAGCTTAAATTTCTTCCCTCCATAATTGCCTTATATGAAAGGACAAAGTTGTTATTATTTTTTCTTATCAGTTCCAAATGACAACCTCATCTCCAATGTTCCCTGCCCCATGCCCCCAACCCTGTTGTTTCTGCTTACGTTCACATAGTTATATAACATTAGTCTCAGGCAAATATCAGATAACATGCCTATATTTGCAGGCTTACCACAATGAATATTGCATTTTTCCATAATATCAAGGAATTAATTTAAGAGAGTTCCTAAAGACCACAATTTCTTTTCTCATATTTCAGTTATCTCTCCTTTAAAAACGCATCTTGAAGAGCCCTTGCAGCGAGTTGCTCTTGCATATGAGTTTTTGCAGTTGTTATATTTAATAACAGGTGCTTTT